AGTTTTTAGTTGTCGTCGAGGAGTACGCTTTCATGACAGTTGTAACATCACAATTTTTTTATTAGCTATTTTATTAGTTATTTATTTATTTAATTATTATGTGGTATGATAATTATTTAGTTATTTAATTTTGTGATTATGTGTTAATTGGGTTATTAGGTTTATTAATGAATGAAATAACTAGTTAGGCCTAATTAAGAAAAATAGAAGTAATGAGGGAGTGTGAGTTACTAAGCCCAATAGTAGAAACAATGGTTAGTGAGGGTTATGTGAAAACAAATATTAGAATCCCCAGTTTGAGAAAAGAAGAGAAAGACTCAAGAGAAGAAGAAAAGAGAAAGAGGAGAAAAGAGAGAAGTGGAGGCTAACCCTAAAGTGTTCAACCTAAGGAGATAAGGGTGAGAATCCTTGTTATTGTGGGTTTATATCATATGAGTAATGGGTAGGAACCATTGTGTAAAAATGGGTATCTCAAATTCTAGGTTTTTGGTATGTTTAGGTTTGTGATAGATTTTCATGAAATTGAGGTTAGAAACATGATTTGATGTTTATGTTTGATGTTATGTGTTAAATACATGTTATAATCTTATAATCTTGTGATTTTGGCTGATTGAAATGGGTATTGTGAGTCAATTTCGTGAAAAAGGAAGTTTTGTCAAAAAGGGAATTTTCCCAAAATCACAGACGACGCTTAGTGCGAAAGAACGCGCTTAGCGCGCACGGTTCTGTAACTCGGCGCGTAGCGCGACGGAGTGCGCTTAGCGCAGACTTTGTTGTGAAATTTTATGATTTTTATTCTTTGACTTGGGATCCTATATGCTTAAGTTTATGGGGGATTTCCATGTATTTTAATAATTTATTCAATAGAGTTTGGATAGGTTTTAAATCGAAAATCGATGAATACATGATACTTTATTTTAGTATATGTATGTTTTATTTTGGTGATTATTGAAAATAATATTGATTGGCTTGTATGTTATATGTTATTTGTGAGATGTGATGATGATTAATGCTATGCAAATGCATTGTTAATAATGTTTATATGATACATGATGTTTTGTGCAATTGTTGGTGGATAGTTCAATGTGTTGAATTATTGTGATATGCTTGGATGATTACGATTGTGAGATGGTCTTAATTGCATATGTTTGTTGGTAATTGCACATGCATTCATGGGGAGATTGTACTTTGTTTGGTGGCTTTGTTCCTTGTGTGAATCAGAAGTAATGGACTAAATGTTCATATTTAGACTTTGATCATAGTCCGAATCGGAAGCGTGGCTCTGATTCTAGATAAAGAAACGAGAGCGAGAAGAGCTAGATGTTCATGTTGGTACCACATGCATGAGTCTCATTGAGTTTCATTGGAGTCTCATGTGTCATTATATGATGTTTGTTTTGATTTGAAATATGTGATAATTGGTTAATTGTTACATGGATGTTACATTGGTGATAATTGTGCTATATGCGATCAATGTGTGTATTGCTATACTTGTAATGCTTGTATATTGATTACTTTGGTACTTGAATTATCAAGCTATTTTGTATAGATGATTATATGAAGTGTGAGTGATTCTTTTGATGAATGTTTGTTATGCATTACTTCTTATTATAAGTTTCCATAATGATATGAAGTCTCACCCTTCTATTGGAATGATGTTCTATGCGATATCACTAAGGTACCAAAGGTAGTGGTGCTTCGCACGAGGATAGTTTAGGAGCTTTTTTTGGTATGTTCCGCTCGTTTAAGTAGTGAGTTGATGCCCTGGTCATGTAACACCGAGGAATAATTTGAACTCATGTTTATAGATGAGAGATATTTTGTACTCTCGTATTTGTTATTTGTATGTTTAGTGGCCTTGGTGCCCAATATTTGGATTATATACCTTATTTGGAAATGAGATTTAGTATTTGGATATATGATTATAGTATGGGATATAATCATTAATAATACTAGAGAAAAGAATTACTCCGTTGTGATATGCATAGTTTGATTAAACTTGAAGTTTAAATATGTGTTATAATTATGACCAGGTGTATGTTTGTATTGCTTTGTTGATTTTGTAAACATATGTGACGCCCTTTTAATATTATGTATGTTATCTTACTTTGATTAAGTTTAAAATTGCTTGGGGTTAGAAAGGGGTGTTACAGCAGCTGCGATATTTAAACTTCTCGACACCATGTCCCAATATCCTATTCTTGATTCCTTGGCTCGGTACTTAATCGATTTTGAGGCTTTCTTCAACCAACTTGCAAAAGATCTCTCATAACACCCACATTCCGAACTCCAACTTAAAACCAAAGCAAATGAAATAATAGGTGGGTGGGACTTGAGTGAAATTTGTGTGCAAAAGGATAATGACCTCAAGGATAAGAGAAAAGACCGTCTGGAGCAGCATGCTGCTTTTGACCAAGAAATCCTGTGTTATCAAAACCAAATTGAAGTGCTCAATCAGAAATTATCGACATTGAGCGTCAGAAGGCTTTATTGAATTCATTTGATGGTCCTTCACTCGACGAAGTTCAACAATCTACTCTTGATGGAATAACTCATGGTGAGAAAGCCCTTCAACTCAGGAGCAAGATTAATCACCTAACAGCTAAAAGGATTTGTCTCGACCAAAAGATCACCTACGAAATATTCCACTTGGAAAACCTCAAATCCTGGTTCCTTTGTAATTTCGTTGTTTCCCACATTTCAATTGGGATTTATTTTTTTCATATGTAATCCCATTGGAAAATTTAATAGCCATCTTGGCACTTGTCTATTTTGGCCAATGATATTTTGGTATGCTCTATTTTGTAGTAATTTGAATCTCTTGAAGCATATGTTTATACTTTTTCAAATATTTACCGTTTACTTTCAAGATTCTTTGATCGAATCCAAACTCTTCGGTCTCATATGCATTATTGGTGAACGCCCGTAGTACTTGGAATGGTCCTTCCCAATTTGGTGACCACTTCCCCAAAATTCTATCTTTTTGATCCATGGGAAGAATAACTTTCAACACGTAGTCGCCAACTGCAAATGTCTTTATTTTAGCCTTTTTATTGTAGGCCCTTGCAATCCGCTCTTTTTGTCGATTTAGCACATCTAACGCAACTAATCTTTCTTCATCCAGATCCATTGTTTCGTCAAACATCATATTCCAATACTGTTCTGACGAAAGTTCGTGTTGGCAATGTACTCACACTAATTGCAAGTGTATTTCAATTGGAAAAACCACATTGTGTCTAAAAGCCAATCGAAAAGGCGTTTATCCAGTTGCTTCCTTGGGAGACGTTCGACAAGCCCATAAAGCTTGATCCAACGTCTTGTGTTAATTCATGGGTTACTTATAGACGTGTTTCTTAATTAACCCAATTATTAATTTATTGGAAGCTTTGACCTGACCATTGGCTTGAGTGTAATAAGGTGTGGATGTTACCAACTTGAAGCATATTTCATACGCAAACTGTTGCATCTTACGCCCAATGAAAACTGACCCTTGGTCTGTAGTGATACTCTCAGGAATTCCAAATCTTTAAATGATGTGTTTTTGAATGAAGTCAATCACTGCTTCTTGGTCGATATTGACCAATGGTATTGCTTCTATCCATTTAGTGAAATAGTCTATCTCCACCAGGATGAAATTTTGTTGTTTCGACAAGGCTAGTTGAATCTCTCCTATGATATCCAGTGTCCATCCTCGAAACGGCCACGACTTAATAATTGTTTGTAATTTGCTTGCAGGTATATGTTGAATACTTGCGTGCTTTTGAAATTCTTGACACCCTTTGGCAAACTCAATACAATCTTTCAGCATACTTGGCCAATAGACACCCTGTCGAAATAGCAGCCATTTAATTTTATGGCTGGCTTGATGGGCACCACAAGCTCTACTGTGGACTTCTACTATTGTCAAATACGCTTCAGTATCTCCTAAGCACTTGAGCAAAATCCCTTCAAGAGTCTTTTTAAACAATTCATTAGCCATGCACACGTAGCTCAAAGCCATATACTTTATTTTTCTATCGATATTTCCAACTGGATTTTCAAAATAATTCATAATTGGCTTTTGTCAATCCGTGTCTGACAAATTGTCAATGGCAAAAACTTCAAAATTTTCAAAATTGTCTAAGTCACTACAAAAAAATAGGTAAATTATGGCGGTTATAAAAGTAATATTACAGCGTTTTCAACCGCCACAATTTTCGATAATGGCTTTTATAAAAAAGGTCGTATTATTGGCTGCCACTAGGAAAATGATGGCCGTTTCATATTAACCGCCACACAAACCGCCGTAATAAGCTTAAGAATAAAAATGTGGTTTTCTGTTGGCAAATAACGACGGTTTAAACCGACTAAAGTAACCCTACTTTTATTAAAAATTAAGAGAAAATTAAGACAGTTTTAACTGCCATCAATGGCCCAATATGATGCGCTCATATTATGAATTCCTTGATTAATCTTGAAAATTGAGTAAGATGTAAAATCTATGTAAAAATATTAAGCATGAGTAATACTAAAATAAAATAAGCAAAATGGATAACAAATGTTTAGTAACCAAATAAAAATAATCATAAAATATTGATTCGCATGATATATACATAGAAGCACTCGGGCTTACACTTTAGCAATTATACTAGTTTACTAATGACATAGAAGTTGTTTTGCTAAAAAAAAGAAACATTACAATTCAAAATTCTAACCTCTTAACTGACCTTGGCTTGCAGGTGAATCCTAACACAACTCACCATAAAAGAAACAATACAAGGAGAATTTGCTAGGAGAATTGGGTATGACATATGGTCTATAGAAATTGAAATAAAGCTAATGCTTTTTGCCCAATGAAGTAAACCCCCTAAACTGTCAACCCTAAATGTCTGCCCGTTATCACCTACTTCATCTCAGATCTACCAACTGAATAAATGGCTTTCTGCCCACTATGTTTGAGTAAAATATCAGTTACACAAACATCTATTGACTGTTATATCAAGAATAAAAAATGTATATAATCATTGAAATATCCAAAAGGCTTGAATACAATACCAAACATCATCTGGGTCGTCACTGAGATCGCAAAGAGGAGGTTTATTTCCTGCATCACGGCTTAAATACCATCTATTGTTAAAAGGTTTCTGCCATACCGCAATATACCCGTCATTTTTCAAAAACATCCTGTAGAGTCGAGTGGTAATATTAAGCATCACTGGAGACAACAAAACCCAAAGTTACATAACACTCATCATGGTTATGAAAGCATTTCTTAGTAATAATGAGTTCAACAAACTCCAAGAGTTTATTGACTGTTCAAGCCAATTAAAGAAAATGATAGAACTAAAGATTACTGAAATTCAATAATACCAAAGCTAAAAAGCTTCAATAAATTCAGTCTAAAAGGAAACTTGTTTCATTTATATACCTTCCCATTGTTCTTCTAAAGCGTATTCGTGCTTATATCAACAATAAAACCAAAATATATAACTATTAAATCGAATATTGTCAAAAAGGAAAATACTAAAATTATCAAAATGGCATGTATGTAGAATTTGGTAAAAAAATATGGTGTGAAAAGTAAACTTGATATCAATACTTTAGTAGTATTTAGAAAAAAATATGAAAATAATAATATACGTGTGTAAACAGGAAAATGGCACTTCACTGCAATTTTTTAGTGCCTTCTTTAAACCCCTAATATTTTTCTATCATTACAATTACTACTTGCAATTCATAATCATAGTCACAAAAATTGAAATTAAATTAACCACCAAAACCCCAACCAAAAACAAAAACCCATTTATAGTCCTATCAATTTCATGTAAGAGCTAGCTGGACCTGGTGACTCAATTATCAAGTTAATTTAAGGACACTAATTTCTTCTTTTTTACACACGGCAAAAGAGAGAGAGAAAATTAATATATATGAATACTTTTAGGAATTTAGAATTGAATATTCTTCATACACACTAAAATGAATTAATAACTTCAAATATAAATAAATATTCATCCATCTATATAACTATGCTATAGTTATAAATAGAAATTTTTGAAACATAGTGAAAATCGCAATTTTTTTAAAAAATTGTATTTTAAAAATGACTTTTATGAAAATCTATTTGAAATAGTTTCAAAATTAAGTGATTTTTAAAAATTTTGATATCTAAAAACATTTTCAACAAAAACATTAAATACCTAAAATAATATTTTAAGAATAACAATTCAAATCAAATTTACATTTGAAACTTTTATGAAAGGTTTCTTTATAATTTTTTTTTTACACAAAATTATGTAACACTATAAAAATCATTTTTTTTAAAAGCCAAAACAAACGGCCCTAACTTCAAGCGGTAATATCCCATTTTCATCACAAGTTAACATGTTCACGCGTCATAATTTAAATAACAAACAATCTTTCTCTTATAATTAATATAGCAGCTCCAACATACTTTCTCTTATACTCTACTGGTTGACCATAGACCACTCTCTCCATATCAATTTTATCCTCATTACTAACAAGATTATTACTCATTATACAAAAGAGAGAAATACGTACCATCTTGAGTCCAATTATTTCTACAGTGGGAACAATGTATCAAGTCAAAATCTTGACTTGGAAAACGTCTAGTTGCAAAAACTGCAACCATGGTCGGCACCCCACGCTCAAGATCAAACTGAACCATACCTACACCTAAACAAAAAGCTAACTCAATGTTGTGAACACAAACATAATCAAAATATTCCTAATTGAAATAACTATGATGAAGTTCTGACCTCATCTCGGCTTTTGAATCGCTTCCACACTCGGTAGTATCACGTGAACACAAACCAAACTTCTTAATCGTGAAATTGTGAACACTCTCAAAACCCTTTTTCTCAACTTTAGTTTCGTTAACCCAACCATCCACCATACCTGGATCAAATTCCCCAACCTCAAACTTCTCATACGTCGTTTCATTCTCATAATTAAAAAGTGAAATCTCATGGGCAGCCTCTTGTCATCTATTCACAATAAAAAGAATAAAATACATAAAGAAGCCGCGCAACATAGAAAAGTGAGACAAATATTAATACAAGAACTTTGAATTACAAATTGAAGTCTAACACAAGAAAAAGTAATATATCAGCACCAGGGGAAAGGCCAACAAAGCTCTTATACCTTGATTGCTTCTCATCCCCTTTTCGCATCACATGGAGTACTGTTTTTGTAGATTGGAAGAGTTGATTGAGTATGTGTTTTGGATTTTGTGAAAGACGGTGGAATCATAGAGTTATAGGACGAAAGAGATATGGAGGTGGTTGAAGAGAAGAGAGTCGAAGGTGGTGGAAGGGAACCTCGTAGATCAGAGAGAGCGGTTCTTCAAAGTTCGATGAAGAAAAATAGGGTTACAAGAGAGAGAGGGAGAGAGGGGCAATCCAAATCAATTTCAGCATGTTGTTGTAACTGTAGGAAATTTATTTTCTTAATAACGGAAATGAAAAATTAAATTATGTTTTCTAAAATATTTATAAAATAAGAAACAAGTGTATATATTCTTATTTGAGTGAAATCAATATCGCATGTCAAAAAACGTAGCAGCAGTGAGTCTTACTAATTTTTTAATTTTATTAACATGATAAGAATATTATACATTAAATTCAAATCCAAGTACAATATTAGTAGAGACGAGAAACAACATATATTAATAATGACCGAGAGAATAGCACATCAATATTAATTGAAATCACCTTCAAATTTTTTAAAATAAAATTTTCTATAGATTAATTAAAGATTTACTAACTAATATCTTATTAAAATATTTATAAGTGATTTAATTTTTTACTATTTTTTAATATTATTTACAATTTTAATAAAATACTCTTTTATTATTATTATTTTAAAATAAATAAGTTAATATAATTAGGAGAAAAAATTGTTCAACGATATGAAAAAATAGGAAAAGTAAAAAGTGAAAAAATCATTGTAAATTTAAACAGTTTAAGTTAAAAGTTGCGGTTGAAATCGCCATAATTTAAATTTCAACCATAATTTAAACTATATTATGTTGTTTACTTAAACCGACTTAATTTTTAGTATATTATGGCGGTTTACTTAACCGACCTAATAAAACCGCAAAATTTACACCATTTTTTGTAATGACTTTGCCAAATTATATGTCTTTCAATTTTTGGGATTGACAGTGTTGATAATGATGTTGAAACTATCTTTTTCATTACTTCAATAAAATTTTTCAACTTGTCAGTTGATATTTTGTACTCAAAAGTAATTTGTGCTAAATTATTAACCACTTGATTTTCTATAAATTAATTGAAATCACTTTTAAATTTTTTAAAATAATTTTTTTATAAATTAATTAAAGATTTAGTAACTAATATCTTATTAAAATATTTATAAATGATTTAATTTTTACTTTATTTTTTAATATTATTTACAATTTTAATAAAATACTCATTTATTATTATTATTTTAAAATAAATAAGTTAATACAATTAGGAAAAAAAATTGGTACAATGATATGAAAAAATAGGGAAAGTAAAAAGTGAAAAAGTTATTGTAAATTTAAACGGTTTAAGTAAAAAGTGGCGCTTGAAACCGCCATAATTTGAACTGTATTATGTCGTTTACTTAAATTAACCTAATGTTTAGTATATTACGGCGGTTTATTTAACGACCTAATAAAATCGTATAATTTACATGATTTTTTGTAGTGACTTTGTTAAATCATATGCTCCCCCCCAGTTTTTGGGACTGACAGTGTTGATAATGGTGTTGAAACTATCTTTTCCATTACCTCAACAAAACTTTTCAACTTGTCAGTTGATACTTTGTATCCAGAAGTAATTTGTGTCAAATTATTAGCCATTTGATTTTCTAATCTGGACACATGTGTAATGCTTATAATTTCAAAATATTCAAACAATTGATTAACCATCGCAAAATACAAAACCAAATGTTCTTTAATGCAATTATATTCTCGAGTTATTTGCTTAATCACTAGCTCCGAATCACCTTTGATTTTGACTCTCTTTGCACCTAAGTCCTTCAAAAGTTTAAGCTCAGTGATCAAAGCCTCATACTCTACTTCATTGTTTGAGCATTTTCCATCTACTCATCATTTGAATTTTGTTTGCACCCCTTTGGAGAGATAATTAGAACTTCAATACCACTTCCATTCTTATAGCTTGACCCGTCGAAGTATAATTTCTAAGGGGCAGTGGCTATCAAATTTATTGATGGTTCAACTATGACGTGATCGACTATGAAGTCTTCCATAATTTGGCCTTTCATGGTCTTCAAAGGAATATAAAACAATGTAAACTCAGTTAAGGCTAGTGCCCACTTGCCAATTCGACTATGCAAAATGGATTTGGAAAACATATGTTTAATGACATCAAATGAGGCGAAACATAAACATCAACTGACTTAATATATTGCTTAAGTTTAACACATGAGAAATATAAACATAGACATAGTTTTTCTATCATGCTATACCTAGTTTTTTCATCTATTAGTACTCGACTAAGGTAATATATGGGTCTTTCGACTCCATTATCATCCTCTTGGGCTAACATACTCCCTATTGTTAAGTTGGAAGCATCTATGTATAGTCTCATGTTCTTATTTCGACTAGATGGCTATAACACGGGGGGCCTTGTTAAATATTATTTGATAGCGCCGAAGGCCTCTTGTTGTTGCTTTCCCCAATGAAAGTCACTTTCCTTCTTGATCTTTGGTAATAACGAAAAAACCTTCGTCTTGCCACTTAGATTTGAGATAAATCTTCTCAAGAAGTTTATTTTCCCCAGCAAAGACTGCAATTGTTTCTTTGTCGAAGGAGGCTTGAGATCTAAATTTGCCTTTGTTTTGCTTTGATTGATCTCGATGACTTTTTTGTGTAGTACAAAACCTAAAAAATATCTTGCATGTACACATAAAGCACATTTTAGTGGATTCATTTTCAATCCATATTTCTTCAATCTTTCAAAGGATCGTCGAAGATGGTCTAAATAACCATTCTCAGATGAAGATTTTATCAAAATATCATCAATGTATATATATATATATATATATATATATATATATATATATATATATATATATATATATATATATATATATATATATATATATATATATATATATATATATATATATATATATATATATATATATATATATATATATATATATATATATATAATGCATGAAATGTTCTATAAAATCATGAAACATGGCATTCATTACCCTCTGATAGGTGGCTCAGGCATTTTTTAGACCGAACGGTATCACCACCTATTCATACGTTCGTAATGCATCTGGACATCTGATTATCGTTTTAAGCACATCATCATATGCTATAAGAATATCTTGTTATAGCCCAGAATATTCGTTGACCATGCTAAAATATTCATATCCTGCAGCCGAATCGACTAACATTTCTGCTACCCGGCATCGAATATTCATCCTTAGGAGTAGCATTATTCAAATCCCTGAAGTCTATACAAACTCTAAGAGTTTCATTTTTATTAATAACAGGGACAATGTTTGCTAACCATTCGACGTACCTTGTAATTCTGATGAACTTACTTTTGAGTAGCCTTTCAATCTCCTGTTTGATCTTCAAAGTAATCTCAGGAGCGAACCTCCTAGGATGCTGCTTCACTGGCCTCTTACCTGGATGAATAGGTAGTCGATGTTCCACCACCTTTGACTTAGCCAAGGCATCTCACCATAATCCCAGACGAAGCAATTTCTGTACTCCTTTAGTAGCTTGACTAGCTTGACTTTCATTTTCGACTCAACTTTAGTGCTGATATAAGTTGGTCTCTTTGTTACGTGGTATCCTAGATCAACTTCCTATAACAGATATTGGGCTTTCATCTTCTATTTTAAATTCAGTGGGTCATGTTCAAACCCCAAAGGTTCATTTTCATATATACAATCTAACCTCCGGCTTTCTGAAGCTTTTGTTTTGGCCTGTTGGCCATTTTCTTGATTTTTTGTTTTGGCTTCGACAACCATGTTTTGTAGCTTCTCAGCCTCAAAATCCGATTTCCTTTTATTTTCAGCCACATATGCCGAAATTCGAGCCAAATTTTCTGACTCACTGGTCATCACTTTCGACCAAAGACCACCCCGTAGGTGGAATCGACTCCCTAGACATTGCTACCTCATCTGAATCCCACATAAAACCATGATCAGGATCCAAACTTATAAAATGATTTGAGTTTTCATTGGGACTGTAATTCTCATCGTCACAAAATGCTACATTCGCCAAATGTTATTTGAAAGACTTCTTTCCACCTTTAACGTCGTTGACTTTGTAGTAGCTCTGATCAGCTTCTATATTCTCCACTACGCAATCTTTCTTCCAAATGGAAATCCTTTGATGCAAATTGGAAAGGACTGCACCTATTCCATGGATCCATTCATGACAAAGTAATAAATTTAAGTTGGCTTTGGAGTTTATGACCATGAACAAACTCGACCTGGTTATTGTTCCAACGGCCAATTCGACCTGAATGACACCCAATGTACTACTGGTTTTTCCTTCATAGTTTGATAAAACCATATTGTGAGCTCGAAGCTCTGATCCACACTTCCCCCATTTTCTTAAACAAATCATGTGGCATTAAGTTTACAGTT